AGGAATAAAAAAGAGAGAAATTGGAAGAGAGAAAATAAAGAAAAAATGAAAATAAAAAAATGGTAAAAATAAAAGTTAAAAAAAAAAATATGGAAAGAAGAAAGGAGTGTGAAACTGGAAAATGGAAAAAATTAACAGACACAGAAAGGAAACTTATAGGAACCCTTACAGAAGATAGTAAAGGAAAGTGAGAAGAAAGGACTAAACATTAACTGTACAAAGATAGACTGTATGGGTGCTGAACTTTCATGTAATATCAGTACTTCTATATAGCAGTGAATGCTGAACTATTTCATCACAGATGAAGACCAGACTTGAGGCAACAGAAATGTGGTTCTACAGAAGGATGCTGAGAATACCATGAACTGAATATATGAGCAACAACAAAGTTTTAAAGAAAATAGAAACAAAAAGGACACTTATACGTAATATTAGAAAGAGAATATTGACATTTCTAAGGCACAGATTGAGGAAAGAAAGCTTATAAAATTTGACACTGACAGGACTTACTGAAGGCAAGAAGGACAGAGGAAAGCATTGTATAACCTACCTCAAATGCTTGTATAAATAGTTGACAGAATGGGGATTAGAAGAGATAGTAAAAAGACAAACTTTACTAAGGACTACAAAGGACAGGAAGTTGTGAAGAGCCATGATCGCCCATGTTCTGAATGGACACAGAATATAGAAGAACAAGAAAAAAATGAAAAAGCTTGAAAAATGAAGAATAGAAAAGAAAGAAAATGAAACAGGAATAAAAACATGTGAAAACAAATAAAAAGAGGAAATAATTTTTGAAGAGAATGAAAGTAACTCACTAATAAAAGATTGAAAATAAAATACACAAAAACATTTTATACTAAAATTGAAGGAAAATAGAAAAAGGAAAAGGAAAGACGTGGAAAATCAGCACAGAATCAAAAGCAAATGTAAAACAAAGAGAAAGAAATTCCTTATTATTTCTATTAGTGGTGGTGATAGTGCTATGATACACTCATTGAGTGTTCATCCCAGTAGTAACTGGTGACCCACATCAGAAATAATATAACAGCAAGCCTCTTCAATATGTCTGTATACTTAGTATTCTGGCTGTTTCCAGTTATACTGTCATTTGGATGGTTCCTTTAATTTCTATTCTTTTATCCAAACTTTTTAGGAGTGTTCCCAACACACTGTTAGCAACTAAAACAACTCTCTCCTTCATGTTCCACAATTTCATCAGCTTATTCATCTTTTCATTTGCTTTCAGATCTACTCAGTGGCTCACCATAACAACAAAATCCACTATCTGGCATGTATGGAATTTAAAGGTTTTATGTTGGTGCATCATTAGTGTGTGTGTGTGTGTGTGTGTTCACATATAAACAATTAATGTAAAAGGAACAAAAACTTGTGTTTCTGTAAGAGACTTTTTATGGTGACTGTAGGGAAACAAAGTTCTCAATGTTTCTTGGGTATGTCTGTTTTCTTTTTCTGGTTCAGAAGTAAGTGTACATAAGGATAAAAATGGTTAAAATGGTCAAGCTCAAGTTTTGCACTGAGTTGGAATAACCAAATTACTTCATGAATGGAGCTGCAAAACACATCTAAATACTCTATGTTAGAAAGTGGTAAGAGAGAGGTTCTGTCCATTCTGAAAGTGGGGTCATAAAATTCTATAAATGACCAAAAACCCTTTCTGATTCCTTTATTACTTGCGTAATTGGGAAAACATATTTTTTCTTTTTTTTTATTCTTTATGATTATTGTATTTATTGATTTTATTTAATTTTTCCACATGTTTTCTTTTTCTTGTCTTCTGTTATCAAATCCAATCTTTTGGTCATAATTTAGAAACCTAGAACACAAAACAAGAAAATTGATGATGATGATACAAAAGGCAGTACACTCAAGAGACAACACTGATAGACCATGTTAAAAGAAAAGTAGCAAAAAAAAAATATAGTCAACATTGAGGATTTTTTAAATTATTTCAATGTAATAAAAGCCACTAAAATGTGAGGGATTAATGAGAGTGAAAGAAACAGAAAGGACATTCTCGTTAGGTTTATAATGAAGACATCGGCAATAGGATGTTGGATGTTGGATGTGGTCAACAGCAGAAACAAACAGACCAGATTTCAGGCATTGAAATGCAATGGTTACATGCAAAAATATCCTTCACACTGAACAATAGATGAAACATGATTAGTCCAAGTTAGATGGAAACTATGAGAACACATAGAACAGCAACTTGTTTCTCCTAATATATGCATAGTTGAAATCTATATGATGACACATGGGAGCATTCTGATGGATAACCCTTTTTTTAAATTCTGTTTCCCTAAGCAAGGCACTAAAACCAAGGCATTATAGAGAGTTAAACAAACAGATAGGACAATAAAAGAACAGGATTCAAGGAGACAGAAGATGATGACTGACATTACATTTAAATTTTTGAAAATCGTAGTTGACAGGAAAGCAAAAAAGTGAGAAGTGCAGGAGAAAACATAACATTGATCAGGGAACTCAGAAAATACACAAGACAGATCAAGGGAAGATTATTAACAGCAGCCAAAAAACTATATAACAGCACTATAACAAACAGAAGAGGGAAGAGAAACCCAGGGAACATAAAGACAATAATTCAAAAATAGACAGGAAAACAATTGTAAGGACACTTCAGAAGTCAAATCGAAGAAGTGGCTGATAAATCAACATGAACAGGGTTATGTAGAGGAAACTATAAGAGACAAAAAGGGATAAAAAAAGAGAGCAATTGAAAGAAAGAAAACAAAGAAAAAAATTAGAAATGAAAGAGGGAAAAAGAAAAAAATAGTATAGAAAAAAGAAAGAAAGTGTAAAATTGAAAAATGGAAAATGGAATGAAAAAGTGAGAACACTGGAGAAAGGAAAAGAAAAAAATGAAACAGGATTAAAAATAAGTGAAAGTGAATAAAAGGAGAGAATAATTTCAGAAGAATTTTTTTGGGTTGCTATTAAGATAACTGCCCAAAACAATTCCATAAGAACCAACTACATAAGACAGGAAAACAAGAAACCAAAATATAGTTCCATGAGTGAAAAGTGTAAAAGAGGAAATCAACAGTAAAATGATGAAAGCTAGCTGCTAATCTAGTACTATGCAGTTGGAGTGCCAAAGAAGAAAGCTCATCAGAAGAATTACCACGAAAATATTTATAGAATAGGCACAAAGAAGCTACATTACAATAGTGGGGAAGTAATTGAAGCTGAGATATCAGGTCAGGGCCAATAACATTACAAATTTTTCTTTGGAATTTTTAAAGAATCTCTAAAAACATATCAGAAACACCAGATCAGATGTGGCAACAATATTCACTGCACAGATGAATAGTAGACTTATAAAAGTACAAGATAGATTCTGGTGAGAAAAATTGTCTTACATGACAGTGAATCAATTTTCCTTGCAGCAAACTTTGATCTGAAAGAAAGTGGAAAGATGCATAAGTACCTTGACCTTGCTAGAGAGAAATAACAAATATGTGGAACATGTAGATTAGAGTCATGCCAGTTATTGTTTTATTGTTGGGAATGGTCCTGAAGATCCTGGGAAAATGATGAGAAAAACTGGAAACTAAGGGAAGAATTGTAATCATCCAGAAAAAAAAGAAATTGAAGAAAAGTACTGGAGTATTTAAAGAGACTTGCTGAAACTTCATCTCCAGTGTAGGCTACTCATTTCTACTGTTAACAATCAGGAATTGAACAATAATAAAGTACTTGTAATAATATAAGGCTTAGCTTTCTTTTGCACATTTTATTGAAACTGACTTCTGTATAATGGATTAAGTTTTATATTGAAATTAGAATCTTTCATTTGTTTATTTAGAGTAATAGTTAATGAATCTGTAGACCTTGGATCTAATAATGTTAGTAATCAGTTTCATGCTCTGCTCAGACTTCTGAGGTAACTTTCTGGAAATCTACCAAGTCTTCATCATTATGTGCAAAATTCTGTTCAGACAAGCAACAAGTAAACAGTGACTAACAAATAAATGGTCGTTTTTTTTTTTTTGTTTTTTAAATGACACACACTTGCATCAAAGTAAAAGAAAAGAATAATAATAAGTTATTATTTCCCCTACATCCAATTTAAAACTTAACAAGCCAAATAGAATGGCCATGACTAAATCATATTTTAACACATGATCTTACCTTGTCATTTCAAGTTTAATAAGGTCTGGTCAGTATATTAACCCCATGATGACTCAGAAAACAACAGCTGATATTTTCTGAATGTTACTGTAGCATTCAACAACATCAGACCTGTCAAATTTTATACTAGAAGAAAAATATTCCTAATTTTTCATTTTACCCTTCCTAGTATTACAGTCTCCTTCATCCCCATACCTTAGATCTGTTGATCACTTGCATTCTCCTACCTTCCTCTGCTGAGTCCATGTTTCTTGTTTTTCATCTGTGGTTTTCATGCATAATTTGATATTTTTATCATTTTTTTTATTTCATGACTTTTTTGTTGAATGTTAGCTTCAGGCTTTGATTTTTTTTTCTTTTGTTTTCCTCTCTCTTATAACTTTAAAAAAAAATTCAAATTGATAATTAAAAATCAATTTCTTTTTTCTTTTTTTGTTGTTTTCTTTTCCTTTTGTCCTGTCTTTTTTAATGCGCATTATTATTTTTTTAAAGTTCTGCACATCCTTTGAGAAACAAGAAGTAAAACTGGTTTCTCACAAAGATAATAAAATTGTGTAATAATGAATTATGTCATATCACTCCAGCTATGTGAGTTTTATTTTTTCTTGGATTGCTTGCAGTGATATATGTGTTTGGTGCTGGGAGGAAATTACAGGTAAAATATCAACACAATTACAATAACACCGACAGATGCTCGTAAAGCTGAGCAAAATGTAAATGATTTTTTATCACAGATAAAAATGTATGTAAATATGCATTCATATTCATGGTCCCCTCTTTTCCACACTTTTGCTTTCCCACGGTCAACTGCAGAAATAAACAGTTTGCGGCTATATCACATTGAAACACCAGTTCTCGTATGATCACTGAAGTTAAGCAATGTCAAGCTTGGTCAATATGTAGATGGATGACTGCTTGGGAATACCAGATGCTGAAAAATTGAATGTGTTGGGGTTGTAATCACTAACAGCTCAGAACTGGAGATTTGAGAACTGAGTTCCAATTCCCATTGGGCTCATTATATTCACATGTAAAAATACCTTTGGGAAAGATATAAATTCACTTCTTCTGGCTATGGGTTAATTAGTAGGACTTGTATCAGTTAATCATTATTATCTCCCACAAATCTTTTACAATCTAAAAATATTTTCTCGCTTTAAATAACCTGCAAATGCCATAAAAATATAAATCATCCGTCCAGAAATAAACCATTCAAAAGATTTACTTAACAATGGTTCCTATTGTACAAGAGTAGTGATGGTGACAAAATATGTATATGCCAAAGAAAAGCAAGGAAGTATTTTCTTTCAGTAAAAAGGTGAAAGACTCTACTAAGATGGAGAAACCTTTTGTCACATAGATTTTATTACATTAGATTGTTATAATTGTTTTATTTTATTAGTTATTATTCTTAATCTGTTAATGTGCTTAATTTATAAATTAAACTTTATCATAGGTATATATGTATAGGAAAAACTATCATTCATATATATATATATATATATATATATGATAAAATATTTTAAGGTATTCTATATTTATAGGTTAAAGTGTTCAATAGCAGCGATAGAACATATGTAAATAGAAAAGTGGGCATTGAAGTCAACATCCAGTGGCAACAGTCTGCTACATGCTTATATGCAATCATCAGGCTACATGGTGTATAAGCATGAAACAGATTGCCGCAGCTGAGAACAAAATTTGTCAAAAGATCACTTTATATATATATATATATATATATATATATATATATATAGGCATTCTCCGAAACATATTCTCTGCAGATAAAGATGTGTAATTTAGAACATATATTTTTTGCTGCATTGGTCACACCTGAAAATAGATTAATATCTGGTTGAGCCTAAAAGGCATGAACAAGTGTGTTTCTTCCTTGTCAGGAAACAAAGAAATAGCCTTTTGGGAATGTAAATGAACAGATAAGGTGTGACTGGATTTCGAAAACACACACACACACACACACACATATACATATATATATTATGGAAAAAAGTGGTAAAGGTTTTCTTGTGATTTATTTCATCATTTAGGACATCATTGTACTAAAGGACAAAATGCACCACATGAAAACTTTTTACACTTTGTCAAATTTTTTCCCCTAAAATAAATTGTTCTTGATATATAAAATTTATTTATCACTTTTATATATATATATATATCAGTCTTGTCAATTTACTATTGAAATAGCTAGACATAAGCATGTTCTATTCTTATAGTTCCTTTTCTCACACTTCTCCCCTGTGGAACTATCTTGTTTCCGTGCCACAAAAATTTAAATGCGTTGTCAGTCGCCATCTTCTGTCTTCCTGAATCTGTCCTTTTATTGTCCTTTCTCCTCACTAATAGCTTCTCATTCTTTCATTCCAAGTAATCCCTGGTGTCTTAATGGCATTAACCTCTTGCTTGGGGGTGAAATAATTAAAAAATATTTATGTAAAACATATGCTTGGTAACATCTCCTTTTTCTTTATCTGTTTCACCTTCTTGGTCATTTGGTCTTGTTAAACCAATGTTCTTATTGAAAAAATAGCAGGAAATAATATACTAATTAACTTCTAAAGCTCATTGAATGTGATGTATGTTTGAAGAAGGCCAAAGACTACAATAGTTGAAACTTTATAATAGAATTAAACAAATGTAAAGATACCAGAAAAAAAATAATGAAAATACTTTATCCCAAAATTTCTGACAATAACTTGAATTTCAGAGAACACTTTACCTAAGACTGTGCTAAAAATAAAAAAGTTGAAGATATTCACTAAAAAATCTGATGTGTCAAACGACCTTGCTTGTCTGTTATGATCTTTGCTAGTTTAAGAGAACAGAGGGCAATCCAATCAATGGAAACTTTGTTCCAAGAATTGGTATCTTATTTTACTGTTCAAGCAATGTTAGATAAATCAATACAAATACCATTTTATCTTGTTCAATAGAATATGCTTTTACTTTGGGGTTTTGATGTGCTGCAATGACAAAAATTCATAAAATCTTATTGAAATGTTGCTTATGTCAGGTCTCAGCAGCAACACTGAGTCATGCAAGATATGTCACATGTTCATCCCTTTCTTTCATGTTATTTTTTCCTATTAATAATATGACACATTATCAGTTCAAAGGACTTTTTTAAGAGTCTTATTTGTACTTTCTGTTTTTATTTTTCACTGAAATATATTTTCTTCGGTGGTTTGCAAGGTTTCAGAGGTTTGATATAATTTGGTTGATCATTGGTTGCATGCTTTTTATGCTCAATGCCTTGAACAATTTTAGTCACTTTTTTCAGTTTATGCAATAGGTAAGCTTTGTTTTATTAATGATTTCTCTGATTTTGTGTTACAATTTTGTTTTTTACTGGTTGATGATGTGTGTTTTAATGGAGCTATTGTTAAATAAGAAGGATGTTTATATATATATATATATATATGTATGTGTGTGTGTGTCTGTATATATATATATGTGTGTGTGTATATATAGATATATATAAATGTGTGTATATATATATATGTGTGTGTGTGTAAATAGAGATGTTTGTGTATATAGAAATATGTGTATATATATATATATATGCAATGAGAACGAAAATAATATAAATTCTAATGTCCAAAGAATTAATTCAAAAGAGGGCTCAATACCAAGAGTAGAGCAATAATTATTTATTATAATTTTTTACATACAGACAAAAACAACTTGCTCACTACAAAGATGCATTCTTGTTTCAATGTGGCTGCATATCAACTCATGAGAACTAAAAATGACTTTAACACCCACCATACCAAGTGGCTTAAAAACTCTATAACTGATCTTGCTGGCATGCAAACCCTTAACTTTTCAATTACTCAATCCCTCACACACATGGTTGATTTTCTCACATGTTTCCCCAATAACCAAGATGGTAAGGCTTCCCTTTTCGATCTCTCTTTCACCTCCATCCCCTTGTCGTGCCACGCAGCTCTGCCCTCTTGGTAACTCTGATCATGCTGTAGTGCCTGTCAACATCTCCTTCTACTTCACCCCCAGCAAAGAACCTCCTACCAACAGATCATCTTTCACTTATCAACAAGCAGACGGGACTTGTTCCATGATTTCCTTTACGATGTCTTCTGGAATGTGGTCTTTAATCTCCCCATTCAAAAATGCACTTCTGAAGTCCCCTCTTGGGTAAAAGCTGGAATTGTGGCTTTCAGCTCGTAATGAGTGCAAGCGTGTCCTCAATGAAGCAAAGTCACTATTTGCTGAAAGAATGAAACAACATATTGCACCTCGCAAATTCAGTTCCAAAGATTATTGACATCACTGCAAGAGTATACTAAACAACAGCAAGCCCACAATACCTCCTTTATTCAACCAATTTGAGGTCCTGACTTTCTCAGTTGATAAAGCTGAGTGTTTTGCTCGGAAATTCACACCCAATTGAATACTTGACTCATCTGGTGTACCCCCACTTGATTCCCTCTAGAACTGTGGCTCTATTGAGTGAGTTGCACATAACCCCATTGATGGTACTGGGTATCATCTCTAAAGTAGACTTCCATAAAACTAGTGGTGGCAATGGGATACCAGCTGTTGTCCTGAAGAAATGTGCTCGCCAAACTATATAACTACTGCTTCAATGACTCTTGCTTTCCAGTCTGCTGGAATTTCTCATCTGTTGTATCTGTTTTTATGAACACTGGAGACTGTCCTGACCCATCTGACTACTGTCCTATCAGTCTCCTACCACTCTTTGGCAAAGTCTTTGAAGCTCTGATCAGTACTGAAGTGGTTAAGCACCTTGCATCCCATGATCTGCTCTCTGACAAGTAATATGGTTTCCACTTTGCCAGATCTACTGCTGATGTCCTCACAGCCATAACTGAATTTATTTACCAAGCACTTTACAATAATCTAGATATTTGATAGGATTTGGCATGCTGGCCTTCTTTGTATGCTTCAGGGATATGGAATTTCAGGATGATTATTTGAATTAATACAATCATTCCTGTTAAATCATGTAATGAAGGTTGTCCCTAATGAATTCACCTACATTTCCTTTCTCATGAATGCAGGTGTTCCCAAGCCTCTATCCTGAGACCTACACTGTTTCTGATCTTCATTAACGATCTTTCTCATGTCATCAGTTCCCAAGTCAGCATCTATGTAGATGATACTACTATTTACTCCTGCCTAAATAGCAAATCTGGTATTGCTGACAAAACTAACCTGGTTATTGGTCTCAAAAAGGACCTACAATCTGTTGTTGACTGAGACAAGAAATGGCTGGTTAACTTTAATGCCTAAAAAACAAAACTGCTCTCTCTTACCCACCACAGAGAACCCTCTCTGCCTCCCATTAGAATGTTTGATGCTCAACTCCATGTGAGTACCTCTCTGTAACTGCTTGTTCTCAAACTGTCTGCTGACCTGAGATGGAATAAATACATTGAATCAATAGCTTCATCTACCGCAAGGAAAGTTGGTTCTCTGTGTCGCGCCAGAAAGTTTTTCTCACTCAAGTCCATCCTTCAAATCTATAAAACAACGATTTGCCCTTGCATCGAATACTGCTGCCATATATAGTCTGGAAACCCCACAGTTCATCTTAAGGTCCTCAACAAAATCCAGAGATGGATATGCAATGCAATTGGCCCTGATCTGGCATCTCGTTTACAGTTTACTTAAAAACATGTCGCTTCCCTCTATGTATACAAATACTTTCATGGTAACTGCTCCAACAAGCTGTTTTCGCTGGTTCCCAAACTGCATGAATTTAAACGTGCTACAAAGATGGCATCTCAGTCCCACCCTTTCACTGTCAAAATGGTTAAATATAACTGTCTCTTCTACTCCAATAGCTTCATGTCTCACAATTCCTGTCTGTGGAACTCCTTTACTTTTACTTGCTTTCCAGATAGCTATAATCTCCAACTATTCAAATGCAAT